AGATGGGTTGATCTCTGGATTCTCAATTCGATTCCATTGATCTATGTGTCTGTCATTGTACCAGTACCATGCTGTCTTTACCACTACGGCAGTGAGGTAGGATTTGAAATCAGGGAGTGAGATACCTCCTACCGTTCTTCTATTCTATGGAATGTATTATTACATAGGAAAAGGATTCTGGGGATATGCTGGCTTTTTAAGCAAGAAAATCCAGAATTCTTGTTGAGGCAGGGGCGTGGGGGAAAATATGCTGTTTGACTTCATCTTCTTGATTTCCTTACTCAGGTGCTGACCCCGGCGCAGATCAAATCAATATGTCAGGCAATTCTGGACTCTGGGAAGCAGTATGCCATTAAAAAAAGGAAGCCGTTCCCTCTGATGTATTCTTATTATGGAACCGAATACTTGGGTGAGTGAAAGTATTGACAGAAACCTATAGGGTGATGTGAGTATCTCATATTAATGCCGAGTTTTGACATAGGTCATCACTAGTTATTTAAATAGAAATACCTTAAGTAAAATCAACTATCGATAGATATAGTGATAGATGTTGTTGCTCCGTGCTGTCAAGTCAGTTTTGACTCATAACAACCCCATGTAGCAGAAGACAACTGCTCCATAGGGTTTCCTAGGCTACTTCGTTACAGATTCAGATTGCTGGAATTTTGCCCTGTAGAGCACAGGGTAGGGTAAAACCACTAGCCTTGTAGGTGGCTAATACAAATCACAATCTGAAGTCCGTTTTCTTTGTCTGTTTGAAGTAAAGGTAGCTATTTCAACAATTAAAATTGACCCTTGAACAACAGAGAACTCTTCCCACAAAGTTGAAAAAAATCTGTGTTTAATTTATATTAATGTTTACTAAAGGGTAAATAAAGTCCATTTACTAGAATGTGAATCCATTCACCCACATTTGCCAAAAGATTGAGAACAGTTTTCATGTTCCTTGCAAATAATGGGCACAGGAAAATAGGATCCAGCCACAAACATGTTTAAACTCCTTAATAGCAATGGATTAAAAATGGACCACTGAATCACAGAGAACTGCCAGAAGCTCAAGCTGCATTTAGAAGAGGCTGTGGCAACAGGGATATCATTGCTGATGTCAGATGGATGTTCGTGGAGAGCAGAGAATGCTAAAAGGATGTCAGTCTGTGTCTAATTGATGATGCAAAAGGCATTTAACTGTGTGGATCATAGCAAATTATGGCTAACATTGAGAAGAACGGGAATCCCAGAACACTTAATTGTGCTCATGAAAAACCTATACCTGTTGCACTTCTCTGACCAGAAGAAAAGTGCTGAGTGATGGAATGAACTACTCAAGGCTTTCATTAGTCAAGAGGTAATGGGAGAGAAACTCATGGTTAAGTGTCCTCCTGACCTGGACATTCTCATAGCTTTCATTGACAAATTTTCATTACATACGCTGTAAAATAAATTAGAAGGGCTTCAAGATTTTTTTTTTACTGTTTGTTTTCTTATTTTCTGACCTTTCCTGTTTCCATAAACACATCCATATCAGAAGGCAGCTTCAGTGGGAGAATAAAGATGTTCAATGTCCTAGGGAAGAAAGTATTTTCTGCCCTGATTTCATTCTTTAGATTATGTTCTTTTAGCCCAGGCATTTTCTTCCTTGGTCAGCTTCACCCCTACTTATACAGATACCAAAAGCTGTTGTGCAACCAGAGCAAGGGAATACAACATGGTTTAAAATCAGGAAAGATGTGCATCAAGGCTATATTCTTTCTCGATATCCACTCAATCTGTATGCAGATTAAATCAGTGGAGAAGGTGGTTTTATGAAGAGTGAGGCATTAGGATTGGAGTAAAACTCCTGCACAACCTGAATTGTATGCAGATGTTGCTTGTCAAAAGAGAGAAGGACTTGAAGAGCTTGCTGCAGAAGATCAAAGACTTCAATCTGGATTACATCTTAAAATCAAGAAAACATCCTCACAACAGGCCAATAAGCAAAATCATGAAGATGGACAAAAGATTGAAATTGTCAATGATTTCATCTCACTTGGATCCAAAATCAACATCCTTAGTAGGAGCAAACAAGAAATCAAAAGATGTATCACAATGGGAAAATCTGCTGACAGGGACCTTTACAAAGTGCTAAGAAGCAGTGGTGTCAGTGTAAAGACTAAGGTGCACCTGATTCAAACCATGATGTTTTCCATTACTTCCTATGCATCTGAAAGTTGGACAGTGAATAAGGATGACATAAGAATTGATGTCTTTGAGGTGTGGTGTTTGAGAAGAGTACTGAATATCTCATGGACTGCTAGAAGAACAAATATGTCTTGGAGAAAATTCAACTGAGAGTGCTTCCATACTTACCTGGCAGAGGAAATACCAGATAAATACCAGATCCTGAAGGTTGTTTTCCCAGGGCGAAGCTCATCCATTGCACTCCGGATGTACTGACCTCTATGATTTCCCAAATGCGGGGAACCTTAACTGAATAATTTGTGGTAGTGGGGGAACTGTGTTCACACTTTTCCCTGTAGTAATTAAACAAAAATATTTTAAAAAGAGTCCTCCTTAGAGACAAGGATGGCAAATCTTCATGTCATCAAGAGGGGTCATTTCTTTGAAGAAGACATTATACTGGGGAAAGTTGGAGGTCAATAAAAGAAAGGAAGACTCCCAATGAAATGGATTGACACAGTGACAGCAGCAATAGGCTCAAGTGTGTCAGAGATGATGAGGACAGCACGGGGTAAGAAAACAACACTAAATCACAATGACTCATTTTAAGCTGTGAGCTACATAAGGTAAATATGTGACTCCTTTTTGGAATCCTTCATTGGGTCCCCATCACTCCTGAGCAAGGCTTACTAAAGGGATCAGACACCTGCCTCCTCCAGACTCAGGCTTCATCCCTCTCTGTACTGAAGCATCCAGTCCAGTGTCTGAACAGTGAAGTGTTTCCCTACCTTTGTCTCTTTGTATATATCCCTTCAGTCAAAAATGCCCTGCACCCTGACCCTTCCTTCAGCTATCTTTGAGACTCTCCTCAAATATGAGACCTGCTGAGAAACTTTTTCTGCCTTTGTAAAAAAGAATTTGTCAACCTCTCTGTAAAAACACTCACTATTTCTAAGTTTCAAGATTTCCCCTGAAGCAAAATTGGGCAATGTGCCACTCTGTCCACACTTGTATTGAAGTCCTTATCACAACACCTGTAATTATTGAATTATCTGTCCAACTGCCTTAGTGATCTTTACGTATGCACTTTTAGATTAAAGACTCATTTATCTTGACAATCCTTGGACCTTTACCAGAGAGGCTGTACATATGGTAGTGCCCAAATGAATGACAAATGAACAACTTCACAGTGAGCTTACTGCTGTTGAGTCATTTCTATCTCCTAGGGGTCATCCATGGGATTTCTAAAGCTATAACTGTTAATAGGAGAAGACTGCCCATCTGTAGAGTGGTTGGTGGGTTCTAACCACCTAAGACATGAAGTCTTTTGGTTGGGCATACAACATGCTATAGACTACACCACCAGAGCTCCTTAGCAATGAACTTATAGACTAGCAATTTCCTAAGTGTTTTCTTTTTTTTAAAAAAAATTAATTTAACGAGAGTTTACCAAAAAGTTGGATTTTTCATTCATTCATGGTTGCACATTTTCCTCCCTATCTCCCCAGTTTGCTTTTTTTAACATTATTTTGCTCACAAAGTTCATATACATTGTGTTTCACACTATTCTTCATTTATATTGTTTCATAAATTCCATGCAGTATGTAATCATTACCCAATATTTTCAGGTTCCTGCTGGATCCCTCCCATTTAACCATTAAATTCTTGTCTACATTTCCCTAGAAGCAAGCCCAGAGTCCAGCATTTGAGTGTACATAGTTTAACTGAGAGATGGACCAAGAATGTTGATAGAGGAGTAAGGGAGAGGAACACAATGGGCCAGTGTGGGCAACTGGGACTCAGTCTTACTGGAGATGCTGAGAGATTGTATAGAAGTTGCTTCAGAATCACCTGCATCCCAAGAGTAAGAAAGCTGGGGTATTCATCCATCAACTCCCTGATGGATTTTTGGAGGGCTACAAGCAAGCACTTAATCCCCTAGCACTTGGGCCCTGCCTCCATGAAGTAGGTAAAAGCTTGTGACCAGAGATGCCTCAGGTAGTCTTAGGTGCTTGGGGTAGATGATGGACAAAAATGATGACTGTAAATGAGGTGATAGTCTGCTACCAGCCTGATAAGTCCTAGAATTTTTTCAGGTTCTTTAGTGAAATTTACATTCTAGTAATTTACATACAGAAAGCAGGTAAGTTCTAATGCATAAATATTTTCCTGGAAAGCAAACTTTTTCTGATGATTTCAAATCACAGTGAAAGAATATTTAAAATTGTAAGAGCGTAATTTTTGACAGGATAAAACTTTCAAGCAGTTTTTGAAGAATCAGGAGCTCTGAGTCTGGCCAAGTGAAAGGTGTCCAAGTGTAAAGAGAAAACTTTACACATGGAGTTGAATTTAAAAGCAAACCCTCAGATTATACTGACATTAGCAGCACTCACTAGTTGGGATTCAATTAATTGGGAATGAGCTAAAACTCCTATAGGTGTGAGAGCAACTTTTCCCCTTGTTAATCTAACTCTTTTTTCCTAAAGCAGGCTCTGGCTTTTATAAGGTCAGAACCTTTGCTAGAATGAGCCCAGAGTTTGCTGGAATGGCACAGGGGTTAAGTGTTTAGTTGTTGTTATAGGCTGTCAAGTTGCTTACGACTCATAGCGACCCTATGTTCAATAGCTCTGCACCCTGCTCTATCCTGATCCAACCTTATCATCTTGCTAATGGAAATGTTGGATGCTTAAACCCATCAGCCTCCATAGGAGAAAGATCTGCTCTCTTCTGTAAAGATTTACAGCCTTGGGAACCCTAGAAGACAGTTCCACTTTCTCCTATAGGGTAACTATAAGTTTGAATTGACTCAAAGAGACTTTCTAATGATAGCCTGTGGGATTCTTGAAGACTTTGCTAAAATGGTACAACCTGTTGGAACTTTTGGCCATAGATTATGTTGTTATTCAGTGTCATCGAGTCAAGTACAACTCATAGCGACCCTAGGAACAAAAGATCTGAATCCTGTTTTGTCCTGTGCCATCCTCACACTTCCTAACACACAAGAGTCCATTGTGGCACTCACTGTGTCAGTCTACCTTGTTAAGGGTCTTCCTCTCCTTTACTGACCCTCTACCCTTCCTAGCATTATGTCACTCTCCGAGGAATAGCTCCTCCTAGCAACATATCCAAAGTATGTGAGGCAGAAACTCATCATTCTTGCCTCCAAAGAGCACTCCGACTGCATATAGCTGTGTTCATACACAACTTTATTTATAAAAACAGGTGGTGGATTACACTCTGGGTGGGGGTGGGGGTGGGGGTTCGGGGGGATTGTATACCAATGAAGGAATTTTACTTTTCAAAGAGAAGAGTGAACTGTGGGGGACGGGGGTAAGAAAAGTGCAACAAGGAATGAATGGAAATCCAAAATGTACATGTACAGAGGTACATGTTCATTAAAATTAATTTTTAAAAAAACCCCAACCAAACAGGTGGTGGGCCTGATTTGACTCTCAGGTTGCAGTTTGTCAACCTGGATTCTAAAGAAGTCGTTTGAGGGCAACATAATCATTATATTACTGGATGTACTTTCAAAGAACCCTGATGGTACCAGAAGAGCAAATGATTTTCAGCTTCGCAGGAGAAAGAACAAGCAATCTTCTTTCCTATAGATTACAGCCTAAAAAACCTTGTTAGGTGGTTCTCTTCTGTCATCTGGGGCTACTCTGAGTCAAAAATGAACTCAATTGCACCTCACTACAATATAAAGAGTCCTTGTGGCTTAATGGCAGGGAACTTGTGCTGCCAATTCAAGGCATACAATTTAAATATACAAATTGTTCTTTGAGAGAAAGATGAGCAGTCTTCTCCTGTGCGAACTTTATCCTCTGAAACCCTGCTGGAGGGACAGCTATGAGTTGATTCTGACTCCATGGTATGCAATGACAACAACAACAGTGGTTTATTGTATAAATGTTGGGCTACTAACCAAAAGGATGATGGTACAAATCTACCAGCCATCCCTCAGGAGAAAGCTGAGAAGCTTCCTCTGATAAAGATTTGCAGCCTCAGAAACCTGATGGTCAGATGCCAATTGACAGCAGTAAGCTTTGATTTAGTTTAACAATATATGTGTGCTTTAAAGTAGTATTTTCATTATTATTTTGTAATCCTGTGATTGTCTTTTCATAATATCAAACTGGCTGTCCTCCCAGTTGCATGAACTAATTCTGCTTTCTGTTAATATAGGGGCAGCTCATGGGCTGTCATCCATTCTCCAAATGCTTCTTTCTTACCATGAGCACCTCAAGCCCTCTGACCAGGAGCTGGTGTGGCAGAGTGTGGACTTCCTCATGGAGCAAGAACAGAACTGCAACTGGCCACCTGAACTTGGCGAGACCATTGAGAGAGAGAACGAGTTGGTCCACTGGTGCCACGGCGCCCCAGGTCTCACACATTCTATTACCTATGAACACTGCCTTCTATCTAGTTTAGTCAGGAGTGAGGCGGGACTTCTTTTCTGGGAACTGAGGGTATTTGTATGTCATTACAATGTGAAATTTTTTAAACGTTGGATTTTTCAAAGGCCAACACACTTGATATTTAAAGAACCTCCAGAAATGATCTTGTACAGCTTTAAATATATCATCTGTATCTATTTGCATTTGTAGTTAAAGTAGCACTGTCTAAGAGAAATACCATATGACTCACATATGCAATTTAAAATTGTCTTGTAGCCTCATTTTAAGAAACTTATATGTCATGCAACGGGTTACCTTGTTGGCATTTGAAACACTAGTGGTATAGATTGCAGGATCAACAGCAATTCACAACATACCCCAGTACAGAAAACTGTCATAGAATTAGACTAATAAGAACAGGCATATATACACATAAGCTATAAAATAAGCAGCAACATGGAAATTAAACTCTTGATATAACAAACAGACAGAAAGATGTACCCCTAACAGCAAATCATAGACACAATCAGGCATAAGAGTGTCATGGTGCAGGACAACCCTCTCTGACTCCTGCAGAGGCCAGCAGCTGGTACGGTGGAAAACAGTGCTGGGTGACTTCTGAGATTCTGGCAGTTGGTGAGGTAGGATGGGGCCCTGGGTAGCTCCTGATCCTTTAGATGAGGCCAGCTTGTTCCCCATAAAAGTAAACCAGCACATTGTGAAAATTATCAAACAATGCCATTGGTATCACATGCAAGCAAACTATTGCTGAAGATTACCCCCAAATGGGTAGAACACTACATTGACAGAGAACTGCCAAAAGTTCTGGCTGGATTTAGAAAAGGTCTGGCACCAGGTATATCATTGCTGATGTCAGATAGGACTTGGTTGAAAGCAGAGAATACGAGAAGAGTGTATATCTATGTTTTATTGACTATTCAAAGGCATTTGACTATGTGGATCATAACAAATTATGGCTGACATTGAAAAGAAAAGGAATTTAGAACACTTAATTGTGCTCATACATAATCTATACCTAGACCGAGAAGCTGTTGTTCAAATAAGAAGGGAACACTACATGGCTTAAAATCAAGAAAGATGTGCATCAGGACTGTATCAACAACCTGCATTATTATGTAGATGGCACAAAATATTGCTTGCTGAAAGCGAGGAGGAAGACTTCCTGAAGATGATCAAAGACTCCAGCCTTCAAAATGGATTATGTCTCAACATCAAGAAAACAGAAATACTCACAACTGAACCAATAAACAACATCATAATAGATTGATAAAGAGTGAAGTTTTCAAAGATTTCTTCTTACTTGGATGCACAGCCAACACTCTTGGTACCAGCAGTCAAGAAATCAGAAGACATACTGCATTGGGAAAGTCTATTGTCAATCTCTCCAAAGTAGTAAGGAACAATGATTTCAGTTTAAAGACTAAAGTGTGCCTGATTTATACCATGGTCTTTTCAATCATCAGAGAGTTGGATGATGAATAAGGATGACAGAAGAAGAATCAATGCCTTTGAGCTGTGCTATTGGAGAAGATTACTGAGTACCCCATGAAGTGCAAAAGAACAAATATGTCTTGGAGACAGGACAACCTTCTTAGAATCAAGAATTGTGAAACTTCACCTCACATACCTTGGGCATGTTGTTTGAAAGCGCTATTCCTTGGCAAAAGGCATCATGCTTAGAAAGTACAGAATCGGTGAAAGAGGAGAAGACCTTCAATGAGATGGTGGGCTCCTGTATATCAGATAAAATGAGCATAACACAGGATAGGACAAGGTTCACATGCATTGCTGATAGCATCACTGTGATTCATAGTCAACTTGGTGGCACCTAGTAGAAGTTCAAGGATATAATTTCTGATGTCAGAAGGGTCCTGGCTTAAGGCAAAGAATACCAGGAAAATGTCTATAATACCAGAGAAATGTCTATTTGTGCTTTATTAACTATGTAAAATTATTTGACTGTGTGCATCATAACAAGTTATGGCTAACATTGAGAAGAATGGGAATCCCAGAACACTTACTTGTGCTCATGCAAAACCTAACATAGACCAAGAAGCTATTGTCCGATCAGAGCAAGGGAACAATACACAGTTTAAAATTCAGAAAGCTGTGCAACAGGGTCAAATCCTTTCACCATACCCATTCAATCTGTATACTGAGAAAATTATTTGAGAAACTGCATTCTGAAGAAGAATGTGGTATCAAGATTAAAGACTCCTCGATAACCTTCTGAATGCAGATACTACCTTACCTGCTGAAAGTGAGGAGGACTTGAAACACTTGCTGCAGAAGATCAGACACTGCAGCTTTCTACATGGATTACATCTCAATGTCAAGATGACAAATTATCTTACTTAGATTCACAGTCAATACACTTGGTATCAGTAGTAAGGAGATCAGGAGATGGTGTATTGCACTGGGAAGGTCTGCAGTCAGGGACCTCTCCAAATTACTGAGGAGCAATAATGTTAGTTTGAAGACTAAGGTGCACTTCATCATTTGCTATGCTTCTGAAAGCCAGACAGTGAATGAAGATGATGAAAGAAAAAGTGATGCCTGAGCTGTGGTTTTAGAGAAGAGTACTGAATATCCTATGGGCTGCTAAAAGAACAAACAGATATGTTTTGGAGAAAAGCGAAGCCAGAGTGCTTCTTGGAGGCAAGGACGGTGAATCTTTGTCTCACATACTTTGAGCATGTTGGTAGGGAAAGCTCTTTCTTGGATAAGGACATTATGCTTGGAAAGGTGGGGAGACAGCAGAGGAGTGGAAGAACCTCAACCAGGTGAATTGACACAGTGACTGCAGTAATGGGCTTGAGTGTGTTAGAGATTGTGAAGTTGTCACAGGATAGGATAGGGCTCCCATCTGTTATTCATAGAGTTGTACTCAACTCCTTTATGACACTTAACAATGACAACAAACAGCAATTTATTATAAGGAAAGTAGAATAACAATTGAAATAAATCTTAATAATCCAAACTCCATAATCCAATACCCCAAATAATAAATACCATCTCTACTTGCAACTGATTTAAACATTACTGAAATAGTTTATGTCACTGCCTTTGTGTGATCTTTAAAAATCAAGGGGTTTTTTAAAATATTATTATACCACTTCTCAATTCAGAATAGCTACACTGCAAATTTGTCCATATTGGACACTGACAACTCGACATGTGGACTAGTAGTATGGGCAAACTGGGATGTTGTTAGAAATGCATAATCCTAGGACTTATCCCAGACCCCTGAACCAGAATGTACGTTTTAACAAGAACTCCAGGTTATTTGTATGCATATTAACATCTGGGGATCTGGGGTGCATTGTTCTTCCTCAAGTGGAGTTTTCTTCTAGGACCTAATAGAAAGTCTGTAGGAAGAAGAAGCCAACCCAAGTGAATTCTCTGGAATTGGATCTAGAAAAGATATCAGACCTTACCTCCACCCCCTCCCCATTTTTTTTCAATCCCATTACATTATTAATTAGACCTTCTGAGAAGGGACAATTTGAAAGAAGTTTAACTCCAATAAATCAATTAATCTTGGTGAGTTGGCCAGGGGAGAGATTTAAAATACCACTTAACACAAGATTGCTGGATTCTGAATGTCTTTATTTTTCAAGGTTATATACTTCAATGCCACAGGCATAGCTTCAAAATATATTTGTCTTCTCGTAAATGTGATGCCTGGATGCTGGTGCTTCCTTTCCTCCCTTACCTAATTATTGTTGTGCTGCCAACCCAAAGGCAGGAAGTTCAAATCCACCAGCATTTCAGAGAGAGGAAGATTGGCTGTCTCTTTACCAAGAGAGTTTTAGCCTCTGAAAAGTTGCTGGAAGGTCAGCTGACTCTGTTCCAACTCAATGGCAAAGAGATACAGAGAAAGAGGGAGGGAGGGAGCAAAGGAGGGAGAGAGAAGGGGGAGGGAGAGAGAGAGAGAGAGAGAGAAATTGATTGAGATTCCAACTATAATATCATTTTTACTTGATACATTCTTAGTTGTTGGATAAGATAAACCTTAATCCCTGGCCTGTATTTCTTCTGCTTACTAAACTGCATTTAGCTGAGGAAGGGAGTTCAAAGGCACTTATACCTACTTGTATCAGTGCCAGGACATTGTGCATTGTGTCCAGAGTAAATGGTGCCGGCTATAACTTGAGCCCATTGCTTCTTATTTTGACCTTGATGGGGGAAAAAAATCCAACATTTAAAAAAGCCTGGGCAGTTATTTACCATCTTGGAAATAATATCTCTTCACGTTACGATCAACATTCCCATTTCCCGTGCCCTTTAATCATTGTAACTGATGGTCTCTGGATCTCCTCCAAGCACTTCAGGGTCCTTGAATTTTGGAGGTGTCCCAAACCAAATACAGAACATTTTAAAAGGACTCAATGTTCTAATAAAAGCCCCGGAAAGAGTGGGAAGGTAATCTGCTAAAATGAGTGACTGGGTCAGCTAATTGATATGGCTGCCTTGAAGGGCAATTATTCCACCCTTTTTATGCACAAGAGACCATCTGTCCTTGTACATTATGTCTCATCACAGTACAACATGGGATTCATCTCTTTGAGGACTTGATTTATCCTTCTTTATCATTCACGTTCTGAGTCTTGGTAAAATTAAAAATGGGTTCCAAAACAAGACTATTCAGTCCACACATTCACTGGGACTACCCAAAATAGGCCAATTAACAAGTGAATAATGTGCGAAATGGGAGCCATCATATCTGCTAACCTCTACATGCTAAAAATATACGCATCAAGAATGATTATAATACATCTGCTAAGTGCTGGTAAAGACCCTCAGGATCTCTCTGAAGTGAGCAATAGTAACCTCTGGAAAAAAAAACCCAGAAAAGTAAAACAAGATTTAGCCTAGTAAAAAAATCATTTTCATTTGTTATAGGAAAATATTTTTTGAGTGTGTGAGTAGATTTATGAGTAGCACAGGTGGTTTAGGACAGCA